CCTTTCTTTTCTTTGTTCACGTCACAGCTGCACTTTTGTTGTCAAACTGTAGATGGCTAGCCCAGACAAGCAAATAAGTCATAATTGAGAGAGTTTAGCATGCTCAGTGCTGGTGTGGTGCTTTTTAGAAAGTAAAAAAGAGCAAAAAGAATGACGATACTACCGCTGTGAATACAGAAAGCATTAAATGTGCCATGTTAGTCACAAAATTTTCAAACTGTAGGAAAAGTATACCTGGATGCATAATTTCCCCAAACACTTTTATTTTCATTTGAATTGTTTTAACTTGGCCTGTTTACACTGTTATGGAGTGATTGTCACCATCTTAGACTCGACAGTGCTTGTCATTGCTTTATTTGTGGTCTTTCTTGAAATCACCAGACTACAGGTTCTTGGAGGATGTTGATCGCAAAGCCTACAGCGCCATCACTGATGATACGCCCGGGTGGCATCCATACAAGAAAAAGGTAAGTCCCGGATTGGATGAGGTTTGGCGTTACACTGGCAATGGGGCATACTCAAATGTCAACTTCAGAGCACACCCTGGAGGAAGTTTAGAATAAACATGACGTGCCCTTTTGAAAGGTGACAGAGGTCACAACATGATCTGCATGTATGGCTGGAAAGCCTTTTTGGACATTTGGACCTCCATAGCATGGACATTCCCGGAAAGGAAACAATTAATAGACGCAGGTTCTTATGATTCCTGCTTATCCAGGAGAGTGTTTAAAATATGCATGGCCCCTTCTAGCAAAGGGTTGTATAATTTGCAAAATAAATTATTCACCAGGCTGAAAAGACAAGTTAAAACTCTATTGCGTGGCCTCTTTCTAGAATGTGAGTCAATTTGCATATTCTCAAGATGCGGCAATTGAAAAAAGGAGCAAAAAAACGAAGACAGCCTTTCAAATCTCTGATCATCATATCATGTCAACTTTGTGTAAATGTAGAAGTGTTGAATCTGGCAATCTACTTATCGGGAGCTATTTTGTCAAGCAGAATTTATGACTTGGATAAGATCAAAGCCAATCACGAGAGTGTGAATTGCCGAAGATTAAAGGACTGAATATTCAGTTTTAATTTTGCTTGATTCACAGTTCAATCAACTGCGAAATTTGTGTCAATCTCGCAGCACATCTCTGAAACTCCTCCCCCCGTCCTTCAGTCGACACAAAGAAAACACCACCTGGGTCAACAAGAGGTCAGTAAAGCTTGGCATCTCAGAGATACTTGGCATTGTGCCCTTTGTGTAAATCATGCCAAAATTTCACAGGCTTCCCTCAGGCAAATTTGAAATAGCAGCAAAAATTTTACCCTGTAGTAACCCATTTTTTTTTTCATGCCAATGGTCAGTGTCGGTAAATATTCACCCTTTGGTGACGGTGACATCTGAAAGCCAGGGGCTGTATGCAAAGTTTTTGTTCACCAAGAAAGTCCTTCGTTCTGTCATAGGATCTCTTGCTTGGTGAGGCAAGTTTGTTAACCAAGAAAATCTTTCATTTCATCATAGGCAGTCTTGCTTGGTGAGGCAAGTTGAAAAAATAAATCATCCATGCACCGCAAATCAATTGTGAGAATCAATTGTTCACAAGGAAGTTCCTTTGTTTTGTCATAGACTGTCTTGCTTATAGTTAGGCAGGGTTAGAATATGAACATGCACTGTAAGATTGTGAGAGTTTGGTGCATGTGGTTAACTTGTACAAATATTCCTTTTTTGGCCATAGATGTCGCACACAAATCCAGCCTGAGTGCTTTGTCTCCACCTTTATTTTTTTTTTATCTTTTTGCATTTTAAAGTCAGGGTTTTGCTCTCTTTTCATAAAATGGAGAGTGAAAAAATTCATCCTTCCTCTCTGGTAGGACAGCCTAGAGTTTTTGATCTGCCGCTAATTTAACATTCTGAATGATTGAAAAGGCCTATAAGTTGGAAAGAGGAATTTTCAGCTTGCCAAAAAAAAAAATTACATTATGCTTGGCACGCAATGGCCAGACGAGTTGGAGTCTTTTTCAGAAATGGATTTTTTTGTCACCCGGTTGTCAACTTCCTCTCCTCTGCCGTGAGCACTTTTGGACTGGAAATCGCCTTTTCATCCGAGTCGCTCTGGCGCTTTCCGGCGCAATTACGGCCCACTCATGCGTTTACCCTCTAACCCTAATGCATTTCTCCGTGATGCACACCGAAAAATGGTCTTGAGATGGGACTCCCTTTGTATTCTGGACCCGATTTCACCGAAAGACTGCATGCAAGGATATTATGACCTACGAATCATTAGCCACTGCACTTTGAACAGTCACAAACTAGACTTTCATATCAAACCTTTTATTTCTTTTTTTTTTTCTGGAATAATGCTTTGGGGGATTTTGTAAGCATATTTGTCATTGAGAGTGTTTTTGCTCTACTGTGAGAAGGAGGCCCACAATTACCAACTTCAAATGATAGCTCGATTTTTGTTTGTTTTGTATAAAGCCAAACCAAAAACTGTTCTACATTGCACTTTCTAGTACATGTACTCAGAATCTGAAAACAGAGTAGAAGGGTAAATCGGTTGGTAAGTAGGTCAGTTGGTTGGTCAGTCAGTGTAAACTGGTTAGAAATAACTGCTTAAAATAACAACAGCAAGAGAGGTCAGGTGACATTTGTTTCAAATGAAATGAACAATTTTCTTTCTGCGTTTCCAATTTCACAGTTCCCCAAATTTTCTCCCAAAAACTTTAGGGTTGCACTGTCAAAATAGGGTAGGCTCTAATTTAGCTCTGAGCATATACCATATGACGTTAACTACGTATAATTTCATTGCTGAATGGCAGAACCTAACATTGACATTTACATGTACAGTCTCTTCCCCCCCCCNTTTTTTTTTTCTGGAATAATGCTTTGGGGGATTTTGTAAGCACATTTGTCATTGAGAGTGTTTTTGCTCTACTGTGAGAAGGAGGCCCACAATTACCAACTTCAAATGATAGCTCGATTTTTGTTTGTTTTGTATAAAGCCAAACCAAAAACTGTTCTACACTGCACTTTCTAGTACATGTACTCGGAATCTGAAAACAGAGTAGAAGGGTAAATCGGTTGGTAAGTAGGTCAGTCGGTTGGTCAGTCGGTTGGTCAGTCAGTGTAAACTGGTTAGAAATAACTGCTTAAAATAACAACAGCAAGATAGGTCAGGTGACATTTGTTTCAAATGAAATGAACAATTTTCTTTCTGCGTTTCCAATTTCACAGTTCCCCAAATTTTCTTCCAAAAACTTTAGGGTTGCACTGTCAAAATAGGGTAGGCTCTAATTTAGCTCTGAGCATATACTATATGACGTTAACTATGTATAATTTCGTTGCTGAATGGCAGAACTTAACATTGACATTTACATGTACAGTCTCCTCCCCCCCCCAAAAAAAAATTAAGCCCAAATTCCTGACCACTCTATAACCAGAAGCACATATGTTCCTGTATAACAGTTTCTTCGTAAGATGTACATGTGCACGCGGTGAGTCTTTAGTCATTAACCACTCCGTGCCGGGGTACCCGGAACCGGAGACGTTGGCTTTATATATGTGCAAAGCCAGGGTGCCCAAAATCAGACGAAGGAGTTTAGCCTTGTAGCAAAAGACCATACTTGGAACAAATGACAGGGCTGCTGGGGACTGTCAACATTTTGTCAGTTGTCAATAGCAAAGGAAATCCGTCATTGTTTTGAATGATTATACCACTGTTTGTGGCATTCGGCGCAAGCGGATTACCACCGGGGACAAAAGCACTCCAGGGATGAGCAATACAATACCGCTGCATGCTAATCTGTTCTGCATTTGCAAAGACGCCAGCAGTGCACTGGGCCAGTTTCGGGAACAAAAGAAAATTACGTAACACCGCACAGTCTGGGCTCTCTTTACAAGGCAGCAGGCCTGGCTAAAATACTCAATATGTCAATAGATGTTGTCTGTCAGATTAGAGTAGCCACCAGACAGTCATTGTTGTCGGTGTAAATGTCCAGTAAATGAAGATATGAATTTTTGAAGAATTTTTGAATTGGAAAATGTTGAATATTCCCCGGAAATATGTCATGCAACTTTCAATTAAACCTTCAGTATATGGTTAAATAACTGTTAAAAAACATGTGTACAAGTCAACGTTTTGCCATTCTGTTTCAATGCTGTGAAGTGAAGAGGAAAATGAATCCAGATTGATTTCATTTAAAAAAATTTCCTGGAATTTCCCCTTTAGATTTGTATAAATTGTCGAGTGCCATTACCTAAAGAGAAACAAAATCTAATACATTGCAGTGCTGTGCGATTGTGGTGATATTGGTTTATACTAATCCAATTCATTTTGTGGTCATTCAGAGAAAGAGTTATCAATTGGAGAGTGCATTGGAAGTTCCCTCAGAGTGATGCTGAATACATCGACAAAAGGTAATGGACAGTTTCCTCTCTTTATTAACGCATTCGGGAAAGTGATCCCAAAAATGGCATTTTTGTAGAAGCAGTTCTGTAGTTAGAAAAAAAATGGTCTGTCGGGCGTCATCTTGGGAAATGAACCAAGTACTGCTTGGCTTTCATTTCCCTCAACACTTTCTGTTAGAGGAGGAAATAAGGCAAAACACTCTCTCTCTCTTCGGTTCATAGAGTTGAGGGCTGTAATGGGAACTTGGAGTGCTAGTCTCCGAGGATTTGTTGCAGTTTGTTACGGTGAAGGGTGATCTTACATGGGCAAATCTCGCGAAACTGTTACTCATATTTGCTGGGCCTGGGACAAAAGTGGCTGCAGGCCCTTCTAGTGGCCTCTATTATTCAGAGTTTGGCCAGACCTGCATGTGAATGCTCATATACCTGTGCCTGCGCTGGTCATTAAGCAAGAAACCTGTCACCCGTCTAGACAGTGGCTATTTACACTTCGGTCGCCCTTACGGAAGGCAATTTACTCTTGTGTGTGCAATTCGAAATGCGGCCGCTGCCCAATCTCATCCCAAGTCAATAAAGTAGGACTTCTGACAGTCCGAGCAAGATGGAATCATCTCTCTCCGTTGTAATTGGATCAGGGAGCCGAAACTCAGAGGGAAAAAGGTAGAGGGGGGAATCCTGAGGTATCAGACTTTTTGATCGATCCGTCCCCGCCGAAGTCTCTTTTTTGATTCGTTGCCTCTCTGGAGACCCAGCGGAATTTAGAAGCCAGCGGCAGGCTGTGAAACGGGAAGCTAGAAAAGGGGATTCCAAGATTGTTGTTGAAGTTTTGGTAAAGAGGTATTATCAAGGTAAATGCCAGAGATTATAAAATATATTTGGCTGCAAGTGGCCTCTAACCTTGCATTTATATTCACGTCTTGACTTTCTTGCCTAGTCTAACACTTTTTGGAGGTCAGTTTGTTTTTGTTTCAAGAATATAACAATTTGACTGTAACCAAGCTCTTAAATGTTTCATTTGGTAAGGATTCAATGTTTATTCTTAACGATAGTTGATGTTTCCCACTTGTGTCGGTATCCTTGGATTTTGTGTTCCATCTTGGAGCCCATTTCCTTTCATGGTTCATCTCATTTTCTGGATTTGTTCTGGGAAGACTTTGTTCCTGATCCATGTTTGGTTCAGACAGTGGGTTTTTGTGAAGCAAATGATGTCAAGTTTTCTGTCAGTAAGAATCGTACTAAGTTTCTCTTCAACCACCACTCCGAATCCTTAATATACAGCAGTACAAGCTCCGTCCTGCCCGTTAGGGACAGTCCTTGGCCTAAAAGCCTAGGTCTGCCGAGGGTGTTGAGAATTTCTAAAGAAATTAAATTTGCCTAAGTGCCCTTTGCCGTTACCAGTGTTGCGATGGTCAGTTTTGTCACAAGTGTACATGCCATCTGCGTGTACTTTGAAAGTCTCCTCTCATATAACCATTTCGTTTGAAAGTATACATGTACATGTAATGCAAGGATGCACAAAGTTTATTGACCTTTCCACTTCTCTGGGAACTGCTGGTAAAAACATTCCTTGTGAAATTCTTGTATTTGCATAGGAAGACTTAACAATTTTTTTTTCCTTTTTTTTTTTGTTGTTGTTGAAGGATAGCTCCAATCTGTGCCAAAAATGGTTATTTTTTTGGGGGGGGGCCCATTTCATGTTCCTCCTTGATGCATGTTATATTGTCAGTTCCGTCTATGTCCTTTAAAGTTTTTGTTTCTTTTTTGTGTACATGTATGTTGAAACTGAAAACAATGCAGTGTATCCGTCATGGCCCAGAATTTTGGGGGAATCTTTCTGTTTTTCCCGTAAATCTTTTACAGCAAGTGGAATTTTCTCAACATACATTTTAAATCTACAGCTTTTGAGAAAGAAAGAACACTCCGGGCAATAAAAAATGCTTACGTCTTTCCTAGCAGAATTTCGCCAAACATGGAACATTTTACAAATGAACGAGTGCCGTGGCACAAATTGGAAACTTGGAAAAAATTGAAAAATTGGAAAAACCTGTATATCTACAGCTTTTGAGAAAAAAAGGACACTCCGGGCAATAAAAAATGCTGACGTCTTTTCTTGCAGAATTTTGCCAAACATGGAACATTTCACAAATGAATGAGTGCCGTGGCACAAAGTGGAATATATCATTTTACTCTGCTTGAGGCAAGTAATTGTATTTTTCCCCTCTGTCATTTGCATAGTAGGAGCTCAGACCTTGAAGAACAATTTCAATCTAGGAAATTGGTTTTGTCAGGAATTAAAGAAGGGGGATATTGCTGGAGGGGAGGGGGGAGATCACAAGATTGGATTTGTCAGTAGTCCCGGGACACACATTTGGTCTGGGCCATTTTTCAAAATCGCATGGGAAAGACTCTCATGTTTAATACAATAGAAACCTTGAACCCAGCAGCGGGTGGAAAAAATGAAATGTCATTTTCATTACTGAAGTTGGCCTAATCTATATTTAAAAATGCGGATGAGTTGTTGGTGTTAAAAAAAATAGGGAATAAAGCTGTAAGATTTACATTGACGATGTTCCTTTTGATGTTATTGTGCCTTTGAATTGAATTTGTAATTTTTTTTTGTCTCTCTGTCATGTCAAGATTGACTTTAAAAAGACAGCATTCGTGCTGAGATTTTTTGAAGATTCACATTTCACAGTGATTTTTCCAGTGCTCATATATGACCAGATATGAGTCGTGAGCTCTTCTTAGAAGGTGCTTCTTCTGTAAGTTAGGCTTCTGTATGTAGTCGTGATTCTCCCTTTAAAAGAAATTCCATTCTTCATTTGAAATTATTGGAAATTCCAGTCCGTGGATCAGTGTGGGCAGAATAATTTTATGAAAAAAAATTTGGGGGGGGGACATTTTCATTGTTAGTTGCATCACGTAGCGGACATGCATTATGAATGGCTTAGCAAACTCCTTTGGTCAAACAGCTGCACGCATGTCACAGAATTTCAGGGTTTGTTCAAGCTGAGTCCCTTTCTGAAAGCTGAGTTCTGCTGGTCAGATACATGGTCTGCTGCTCTACCCAACTGAAGGCTCAAAAGCACTTGTGCCGTGAGCACAAGAGAGACATTTCAAAGGACATATCGACTAATCTGGTGACCAGAAGTAACAGCCGTTTCTGCAGTGGCACAACTCTCGCGGACATGTGTTACAGACATGTTTCACAGCTCTTCAACCAGTAGGGTGTTATTATTGGCCTGCCACACACACACACACACACGCATGCGCGCCTCGAAGTCCAAGAACGCCAAGGCGAGTGCCATGCTACCACCCGAAGGGTGTCCCCTCGGGTTAGTGTCCCCATCAAGCCATTATTTTCTGCGAACTGGGTCAAAGTATCTACCTCATGCAGTGTGTAACATATCACCATTGATGGATCCATTGTGTACAAGGCACAATCATCCCTCCTCCCCCCCCAAAGAGAAACGACTTCTTTAGACTTTTGGAAATACAAGAAGAAAGTTTTGAGGGGTTGTTTCATTCCTTCTTTTGCCAGTGTGGGAAAAATCCCCACATTTAACCGTAACGTGAGAGAGACGTCCATGAAGATTACATAGAGAAATTCTCCGATGTTTTGGGTCCCTACACAAAACAAAGTGGTCCCCCCAAATATTTGGTTTCTTTCTTGCACACTGCCGATTGTAGGAGTACCAGTACACAAAGTGCTTAATAAAAACCTGGGATTTTCTTTTTCTCGGTCATTGTTATAATTTCCTGAAATGCATTCTTGAGTTCCAGTCAGCACCAACATGCTGGCCAACATCACATGACCTCAAGTACCCCCAAGTCCACATGAGCATGGTACAAATGCGCACCCCCCCACCAAAATCTCAAGCCCAAAGGGCAAGCAAAAATTTTTTTTTTTAAATAGAAAGAACGAGTAAATACTCGATCCACAGAGACGACGAGCATCCCCACCATTGTGACTCATTCAATCACTACCAGTCACCGTGTGTCTGGAGAGCCAGTTGGAGCATTGCATTTCCGCCGAAAAAAGGAAGATCGCTGTGTCGAGAGGGCTCAATTGAGCCATACGACCCAGGGCATAGTCATTCCTTTTTTCCTTTTCCGTCGTCTGATCTGTGCGGTGTGTGCTTAAGGAGGAGAACTCAGGAAGTGGTTGACCCATGTATCATTTTTCATTGTTAAACAGTATTGGTAAATGTAGTCTGTGATACCCGAGACCCTGAAGTGCGTTGGAAAATGTCCGTTTCTCTCCTTTGAACGGAGAGAACAGAAACCCTGTGCATTTTGTTCAAAATACACATGTAAGTAAGTCAAGTGGGCAAGGGTAATCTATCATACTTGACTTACATGTACATCCATTTAAAAAGCAACATAGTAGCAGTTCTTTTATCCACATGATTAGATTGGATGTTTGCAGGGGCTGATCCAGGATTTTCCTGAGGGGGGTCAGGCCGAAGTTTTTTAACATCTCATTATTGTGAACAAACACAAAGGATGATGAAACATTCTGTATGACATACATTGTTTACAATTGTATTTGTGCACTTACCTTAGTTTATTTGTATGATTTACTCAGTTTTACCTGTTTTGATCTCAGAGAGGGGGGTTTCAAATCCCCCCGATCCACGCCTTCTTTGTCCACTTGATCTCACAATAAGCTTTCTTTTAATGCTTTATTTTGCAAAGAAACTTGTGATAAATTTCTGTGGACTCTTCAAAATGGAAGTGTATGTTCGCATGTATTTAAAAAGAAATGACCATCATGCGTCACCCTTCTAAAGACGATATTTGCTGTGATTTCATTTGACAGTGTCCGTGAAGATCAAACACTGTTTGATATCCTGGCTACTCATCTTGATCCGGTCAAGGGGGATCCAGTTCACAGGCAAAGGTCAGTTTGTACAAAACAAAACAAAACAACAAAATTGCCACGCACGCAATAATTTATCGGCCAAAAGCCAAACAGATAAAAGAAGCAGGCACAAAAACCTGAACAAATAATTTGTGGCTGTGTTAATTAATAAAATGGTGCAGCAGCATCCTTGACGGAACATCAGTTGGCTTCAGTGTGGAAATGGTTTCGCTTGGCCGTAGACTCAGTGAAAGAAGCAGAGGGAGGAGTTATTAGAACCCGCCCCCTCCTTCCCCAGCTTTGCTCATGCTGTGCATAATTATGTCCATGCTGCTTTTTAAAAAAAGAGAATATCTTTAGTCGTAGACTCTTCTGCCATTTCTGAATATTTTAATATGAGTCATTCTATAAATTAGGAGTCCATTTTTTGTGTGTCCCTGTCACATCTAACATATAATTTTGTAAGTTCAGAACACATTTTCTAATTTCCAAGAGTAATGAATTAAGGCAAATTACCTGCCAAACAACTGGAAATAGTTTGAAATCAATTTGAGTGATATTTCCGTGTCAAATTACACAGGTCAGGTGTAACAGGACCCCAAATTTATAGAATGACCCACATTTAAATGTCTGTGACTTTCTAAAGAATTTGTACCCATTCAATCAAAAATTGGCTGTGCATTCTCTATGCACATTAACTAGTGTATATTCACAGCGTATCCCTTCTTAGCTCTCCTGATCAGGCTACTCCTGACCATGCACAGCTCTTTCAAGTAGTCCGTTGACAGACTAGCAATGTCCAAATCTTGATTGGTAGAACTAAGTCCAGGCCTCAGCCAGCTGTCAATGCTTGAGCAATAAATGTACATGGAGTTGTACTCTCTGGAAGTCCTGAGAATGACTGTATCTAAGGTCCAAGCAGAGTTCTTTTTTTTTCTGCTTGACCCACTACGTTAAAAGGAAAGGAAACAAGTTCACACGGTCTTCCTCACACACATGTCTTGACACCAGAGTTTGCCACCCATGCCCGTGGGTTAGCACCTCAGCGGTGTCTGGCAGAGGATGGGCTGTTGAGCACCCAACAGGGGTGTATGCGCACGACGGCAGGTGCCATCTATGCGTGTCAGAAACCACACCCTGGCCTATTACCCAAGTCCAATTGTACCTGTCGGAGCATCTTGGTGGAAATTTTGCTAATAGTACACGTGCATGTGATAAGCAAATATTTGCGGAATACCAGTTACAAGCAGTATAACCTGTATGACCTTTGAGTCGGTAACTGTAACGTCTGTGCAGTTGATCCCCGACCAATAGCAGATGACTGACATTACATCATTTTTTATTTGTCACCACATGTCAGTGTTGAAATGCAGTGCACTATTTGGAGAGACTGTGTACAGATTTTAAATCAAAGCTGACTTTACTTGTTTATGGCATTCAATTTAGTTGACTTACCAAAATACCTGCAATATTTTGTATTTCAACAGGGACTGGTTTCACGGAGCTCCTAATCACAGAAACTAGCTAATGTCTTTTCCGAAATATTTGGCTGTGGCTTAGAGCTGCACAGGAGTCTATTGTTGTGGCTGCAGCCACTTCCCACAGAATAGAATCATGGGAAATTTCAAGCCGCGGCCAATTAATTTGAACTTGGCTTTGGCTTTATATCTTTACTAGCAGGAACAGGATACCAGTGAAAACGCAATGCGACGTACATGTAAATCACACATCATTGGTTTACGGACGACTTTGGCTTAGCGCAGAAATTTTCTAAACAGTTTTATCTGTTCAATTCAATTCAATAAACATTTATTTAGAACTCTCCAAGAGTTATGTGTATAAATACAACCATAGACAAATCTAAGTAAGGAGAAAAAACAAAATCAATAACAAAGAGAAATACTTGAAAGCCAAATAAATAAGGCCAGATTAATTGTTACTAATTAAATGTGAAATAAGGGTTACTGGAGGAGAGTTACACGGCTGTTCACATAAGCCAAGGGCTTGTAAACTGGAACAGCCTGGACACACTACACAAACTACATGTACAGATTAAACATAGATACAGATACACACAGAACAGACCAAAAAGACAGACACAGACAAACCACGGACAAACAAAACTAACGTGGTCAGCGTGGTGATCAGCGCTGTGAAATTGGACTCCGCTGTGACACTAACCCTAACATTCCTGAATTCTCCAATTTTAATATGATTTTGCACACACCCTAGGGAGTTAGGGCTAATGTATTGCCAAATACAGGCGATTCACAATAGTGTGCCTCCAAGAGTTTGCAACACGTTGTCAATCGCAATGCGCGAAATCTGCCGACCCTTTCCAAACGCTCATTAGGTCAATAGAATTCTTGCATCGTGATTGGTCAATGCGTTGCAAACTCTTGGCGGCACACTATAGTGAATCGCCCGTATTCTGTCAGTTTTTATAAACCACACAAACTTATTTCAGTCAGCCAGATGGGTATTCCAACAGTGCATACCCAAAATGAAGCGCATCTGAGATCATTTGACAAGACACATGGGCAAGGTCTGCTTTGTCAACGGGGCCAGTCGCCCCCTTGCATGCCTGCTTTGTTCTGGAGTGACCTTGCGTTTCTCAAATACTGAATGGATTCATTGATACATGTAAATGCTCTCCTTGAAGGTTGAAGAGGTACTGTCATCAAGGTTTTGAAGAACTCCGATTGTACATGAAGGTTGAGGGAAGACCAGCTAATTCCTTAAGGTATGCACAACTTTGTTGGCCAGATTATTTATCTCTCACATTCCTGTGTTCGAGCCAAGCATTCACAGAATCAACAAGTTGGAGAATTCTGCTTTGGCATTTAGATTTTCTCATTGGGTAGAGCACTGGAGCAGCGTTGGAATGGTTTCGGGTTCGAGACCTGTTCTAGCTATTTTTTTTCTGTGTACATCATGGAATTCTTCAGGTACCACAAGCTGGACTTGAACGCCATGCTGCGAGAGAACCTGAGCGGCAAGTGCCTGATAGAGTTCCCCGTCATCTATGTGGTACTGAAGGAGTGGGCAGATGGTTACGAAGCGCCCGAGCAGGGTGAGCGCACCTCGCTTTTGGCTTTATTCCTGAATTCACTAAACCACATTTTAGCACTTGGAGTGATGATTACTGTCTTACACTTGTGTCAGTGCGTTGTCCTCTGGTGTGTTTGTTTGTCTATCTGTCCATAGGCTTGGGAACAACAGTCCCTTGCCTCACCCCAGACTTAGTTGTTGCCATTTGCATGAAAATTTTACCAGCATCAATTGTAATTATGTCTATGCATCATTCATTAATTTTGCAACACTGTATCTATGCAATGTTGAATGAAAAAAAATGGGGAAAAAAACACATTTCAGATTTTCATCGGTCATGTTTTGAATAGAATAACATATTCTAACACAAATGTGATTGTTCTTAGATGGGCATAAATCTCAGTTTTGAGGGAAAAAATTGCAGAAACAATAACCGGATTTTGTCTTGAACTTTCCAATAGCCGTAATGTATTGATAAGCAGTCTTTGAAATGGAGAACAAACTGTACGAATGCTGGAAATGTACCATTTGATGTAAGATTGTATCGTGAACTGCCCCTGATAAAGCTACAGTGAACCCACTTTTCCCATCTGGAATTTCCCCCCCCCCTTCCCTCCTTCCCTCTGCTTGTTGGTGTGATGTGGATGCCTTGCCGATGACATAAAGATTCATGGAGTAATTGCAGAATATCCTGCCTCTCTAAAAAATGACCCCCTGGAATGACTGGTTACGTGGGTACAAGGTGATCATCCCTTGAGAAGAGTGTGACACTTTGACCTGTACCTGGCTATGAGGTTGATCATGCGGGGTGGCGGGGTATTTTGCAATTGAGCCATCATTGTCTGCGAAAACATTGCACTCCAATCTAAAGATGGCAATTGAACCCATAGAAGTGATACCTTTGATCACATTCAATTACATGGATATGGGAAATGTAACCTAGGCTTTTCCCATCTGGAATCTCCCCTCCCTCTCTCCTTCCCTCCCTCCACACACGCATGCTTGTTTCACATGCCCAGAATGAAAAATGTTCCTTTTTCTCTTACTACCAATAAGTCATTTGAGCTTGATAGTTGATGATGAATTCCTGGACTGTTCCTCTTCATTTTGTCAGAAATAAACCTGACCCCAAAATGCCTCTGAAGCAGTTTTTCAGAGGGGGGCAAACACTGTGTGGACGTATGGAAGTAACACGCCGTGTCTCCTGACCCTACATTAGGTGGACCTGTTGTGATGGGAGGTCCACACTATGTACTCCATGCTCGTGCATGCCTTCAGGCATGGATTTACATCACCATTCATGGGTGAAGTTGCAGCTTTCAAACAAAATGCAAACAGTTTGGGAGATCTCAACAAAAGGTGGACTTATTTTGCTTCCTTTGTGAACAAAATACCTGACAATACCACTTGGGGAAGACCCACAAAATTTGAGGTTTGAGTGTAAAAGCACCCCCCCTGTTAGCACGGCACTCAGCTGTGCTCTTGGGACCAAGAAGAAAATGAACAAGAGCAGGGGAAACTTGAGTTATTCCCGTGGGTCTCTCTTTTTTTTCATCTGCCGGCATTTCCCACAGCCTTGAGTGCCCGCCAAAGTAGTTGATGTAATCGCCAAGTGATGCGCAAATATTTTCCAGTGCATCGCGCTCCTTGAGCGTCTCGTTTTCCGGCCGGCCGCCCTTTTTCCGACTGGCTGTCCGTGACCTTGGAGCCAGCACTGCTCTCGACAGGGAAAAAAAAAAGTTGGGAATAATTTGTCAAAAGAGCCAATGAAGGGATAGTTTTTTCTCCTTTGTAGACATACGTGCAGATATTTGTGCATGCGTATGCTCTGCCTAAAATACTTTCATCACCTCTTCAGGGTGACAACATGCAGACGTGTTTGTACAGTTGAAAGCCTCAAGTGATTGTTTCTGGCGTGTAAAAACTGAATGAAAAGCTAAAAGGTGGATCAGATAGGGGCAACACTTCAGTCGTCAGGTTTGGTCAATATTTTGTTCCCTCCCGTGATTTGCGTTGTGTCTCCATATTGTTCAGCCCACTCAGGCGTAGCTTAATATCCATTTATTAAAACCGGGATCGCGTGTACGCTATTCGTGTTGGAGTTGTAAGTTCCGAAAGCTCCGATGCTACTTAGGGCTCGTGACTAACAATTGTTAAAGGGGAAATTCTTTGGCAGATGGGCATTAATTCTCATTTAAGCTTTTTTTTTCCAAGGTTAAGCTTGTTACAGTGTGTGATTAGGGGAGGGATAGGGTAATATCTCCCCTTCCATAACCTTCCCCCCCCCCAACAAAGAAAGGAAATGCGGACTGCGCATGCACTCTGTACAGGAACTAGAGATGACATACTTTTAAATAGCGTAGATGGTCCTCTGTAGGGGACTCACTGTGTGGGGTCAAGTACATGTAAATGCACATTTCGCATGGGACTTGCCAAGGACATGCAACCAGTTTATGTTGGAATGTACGGTTTGTCTGGCTGCATCCAAATCTCTTGTCTAGAGCTAGGTCTCGGTCTTCGCTCCATTGGAATTGTGTGGAGATGCGCAGACAATAGACCTAGCCGTAGCTCTGGAAGCCCATTTCGGACACGGCTGAGCACCCAGATGAAATGATTCCCACCTGCTGGTCTTGTCTTGCCCGTGAGGGTTTACTTCGGAAACTAGTCAAAAATAGCTTTTTGTCGACAATTTTGTATCATTTTAATCCTGAGACAAAAATCCATCAGAAATTGTCATCCAGACTTTTCGGATTATGTGTACTCGCCCCCCCCTCTTGGATTAAACTTTGCTGAAATGGAAAAGCATTTTGAAATTGAGAAATTAAAAGTAGGCTTCACTGAGTATCTGGATATTGTGGGTCTTTAAATACCCCCTCCCTTTTTTTAAGCAAGGTTATCTTTTGTGACTGAAGGCGTGCTGCATAGTGAGGTGGGCGAAAGTTTGTCAACTTTTTGGTTTAAATGCATTTGTTCGACATAATTTTTTTTTTTCAGTTCAGAGTACAAGCCGTGTTGCACCGCAGGAGTCCTGGCCACAGCGCTGCAGTCAGGACCCTGCAGAATGGGCTACTGAGGACACACTCCCCAACTATGGCTACAAAAGACAAGCTAAGAATGACACATCAGAGGACTTACCCGCCAAGGAGGTCACAGAAATGGCTAATGACACAGGAACGGGACCAGGATATACTGAGGACTCACTAACAGAGAAGGATCCGGCTGAAGATGTTTGGAAGTCATCAACCTGAAAAATGAAAGGACTGCCACTGGAGAAGAATCTGTCCATGCTTCTTACCCCGTTGTTCATATTTTGTTTTACACTGAGAACCTGATCTTCCAACCGAATTTAAAAATTACCGGCACATTTCCTTATCTCAAGACTTAGTCCCATTGTAGCACTGCCTACCCCGAGTTGATTTTGAAGTAAAAGGATCGAAGACGTCAAGGTGTATGTAATGTTGAAAGCAGAATTCATCATTGCAGTAAAAAAAAGGGGAAGATGAGCCTCGTAAACTTCAGGGTGCATTGATTTGCACTGTCTCGCATAATCGGATTTTCTTGAACGATATGTATGCTTCCCTAATATATTTGTGAAGTCAGCATTTTTCACAAGATGTACTCCATTAAGCCCTCAACTCTGTACAGTGCACTAAGCTTTCAGGTAGACTCACATGCTGTCTGGGACGTAGGCCTGCAGGGCACTGTCACATCACATGATCAGCTGGTATGAGACAAAATGGAGATCGCAGACCGTGTATAGAAAAAAAAAAAAACAGCTTTCATCAGCATTTCAGCGGGTGTTTGCGGTGCTCATCTAACCTCGACCTTGCGCGGGACTTAACGGAGCGGGGCATCGCTTCACGGCCATGCCGATGCATCTGGGTCAAGTGGGCTTCAGTGGGCGTCGGAGTGTGCTTCAACGTGCATTGATAGGCGTGAGGCACCGTCAGAGGAGAGTGGAGCGTGAAAATGCTACCTCGAGCGGACTGGGTGCTGAGAACAAAATATTTTCACAGAAAATATGAAGGAGTGAGGTTGTGATAATGAGGGACTTTAACAGTGTTGGGGGGGGGAATGAGTATCAAAAGACCTTTAGTCTTCAAGGGCAGATGAGGGAGGGCATGGCCCCAAAACAACCGATTAGGCAAAGTAAGCTTCTTCGCCTCTGTACCTTTTAAGTGTAGCACCCCCCCCCCAAAAAAAAGGGTCTGGAACTGCACTTTTTTGTCATGCAAAGTTTGGAAATGGCCATGAGACGCGCACATGTTTACAAATTTTTATGGACAAAAGCAAACGGCTGTTTTCAAGAGTAATGTTTGATTTTGCAAATCTAGTTACTGTTACTGATTCTGTGGATGCATTATTTTATAATCAGTTTGTCTTTCTGATCTGAGGTGTGGTCTTGTTTTTCAACAATCAATCCATTTTGTATTCGTAAATATGTAATTGATCAATCAATTACAGTGGTGTAACGGGGAAGGGTTGTACCTCCCCTCTCCACTGAACTCTGTGCTCCCAGTTCCCATCCCCCATGACTCCTTGAGAAAAAAAAAGGTGTTCCTAGGGTCGATTGATTGAGATTATTGGTTATTCATTTTAATAAAGGGATGTTTGTTTCAACAGGTTCATTCCATTCCAGCTTTTTCGTCTAAAAGAATTATTTTGTTGATCGCTCACTTTTTTCAAACCTTACGCTTCCTTGTTGAGATGTGTGAAAACCTCAATTAAAAAAGATAAAGGTCGGACCATAAACCTGATATGAAATTCAATTCGTCACTTTGCCTCAAGCAAAAGACAAGTATACCTATCGCAGAACTACATCATGATGTGTTGATTTTCAAACCAGCCTTTTCTTCCTCCTTGCGTCCCGCAACTGCCGTCGGTGCTATGCAAAGTTGTAACCGATACCGGACAAAGCGCCTGGTGCAACGGTGCCTCACAGCAGCGGGCCCTGCCCCGCGCACCGGCGCCCGTGCACCAGGGTACTTGGACCTGTAATTCATGCCGGGGAAAACACGTTCTCAGCGGCCGATGAGAGGCTGTAATGAGTAGTTCTCGTTGCATACTCTTCGCTCTCTTCCTCGCGTACGTGTGATGACAACTTCGTCAGTAGCGTTGGCCGACGGTCTTTGGTTACTACCGTATTTCTCGGGGCAGTTTGGTTCGGTCGCGACCCGCTGGTGTGCCAAAAGTTCTAGTTTCGGTACTCGTGTATTGCAATATTGCCAGGGGCGCGTTCTGCAGTAGGCCTAGTGCCTACTTACGGTATGCCACCGACCTATTTTGTTTACCACGGCACCATCCTGTGGCTGGAGCTTATTTCGCACGCGAATGTGCTGACGTGACGTGTGTCGTTGCACAGAACAAACTTTACAACCACCTCGCTTTTTAAAGAGATTCTTACGCCGTTGAAAAATCTGACAAGGTCAGGGGCGTAGCCGCCCCCCCCCCCACTAAAACGGATGAATGGATATTGAACAAGGCTAACAAAAGCTTCCCCCCCCAAAAAAAAACACTGAAATCTGGCCCCCCCCCTTAAGATGCTGGTGCCCCACAAGTAAAAACCTAGCAACGCCACTGGTTAAGACCACTTGTTAGGTCCACTTTGACATTAGATTCCGTCTGCATCAGATAATTCACCAGATTCCTCGATTTGGGCGAAATCTAGTAAGATGGTTTATGGTTCTCGTGTGAACCATGAACCACAATGAAGTCTTTTTGATAGGTTCCTCTCGTCGGTCGTTGCTCTCTGGACTTTCTGTCGTTGCGTTGACCAAAACTTACCTCCCTTATTCCAGTTTAAGTGGAAGTTTAGAACACCGTGCTGTTCAATTTAATCTGTGCTTCTTAAAGACAACTGCACTGTGGGTAAATGATACATGCCCTTAAAATACCAAGGAACCATGTATTTTCGTCCGGGCCCTCCAGCAGAGGTCAAAGCCATATAGAAAAAAAATCTTTGTAATCTGAACAGCCAAATGACATTCTGATTGAGTCTCTCTTTTCCCACCAACGGACCCTTTATAGGAAAAAAATGCTTAAAATGACGGCAATACGATATTTTTTTAAACATCGTCATCACAGATTCACTATATTCGAGTGTATACTCGCAAATCCCACTACCGTCAGAAAATGGATTGAAGTAACAGTGGTTTTACTATTCATGGCTATCCAAGCCATTTGACATTTGGCGAATATTGTGAAGCTCGTGGATGTTATGAGTCACGTCACCAGCTTGTATTTGGAGATTGTCAAGCAACTTGGCCCAGGGCCTGCATGATATTAAGTGTGAAGGATAGAGAAACCTACATCAGAGCCTTTTTTCGAATAAATCCTAAACTCGAGAAATTTAAGCCAAAATCATTTCAGAGCGGGAGTCGGCAGGTCCCAAAGTGAATGTAGCGGTTCGCTTAGACGATGAGCACCTGAATATTTTATGGTAGGAATGAGGTGGTGAGATCCGAAATGCACTGACCTCCGGCAATTTGCAAACCGTCATGCGTGGCATTTCACGCTGGGCGGGCAGGTTAGGCACTGGGCTTCGGTGAAAACCTTCAAAGACGCCGCCGTATGGAATGCACTCCACGGCAGAAATACTGGCTTTTCGACGCGGCATTGCAGTCGATCTGGTTTGACTTTATGAAAATAATGTAAGTTTTCAACAGCCTACCATTCGGTTTAGACTGCTGAATACTCGAGCTGGCCCTGCGGCTTATCGCACATGCGCACGAGTAAAAGACGGGGTCTGACCAATAAAAACTTGTTTCAGAAATAAGAGCAGACCACATCAGTAGAGACGTTGTGTCTACAACATTGTTTTTCGCCAATCATGTTTTTCTGCACTATATCCACGCACACAAATCAGCATGAAGGAATCAGGAGTTAGTTTGAAGAACAGTGGAAAAGTCACTGCCTCTCAAGATCTGAAATTTTATTGGTTGTATGTTTGGTGACGATTTTGCTTACCTGCAGTGTGAATGGTTGACCTGAGGAATATACATGTAGTGTTAAACTGGGTTGCGCCCTACTTCTCAGTCATCAAATTATGTTTCTGCCTCAAGGCGCCATAATATTGAGACAAGTGGAAAACAACATGCTTTAATTAATGTGACATCGCACAGTGGTTGATGTTAGCGATTCTGGGAGGAATCCGCGGCGTAATGAGAACGGACAAGCGGTGTCACTTGAGCGCGCAGGCATTGGAACGGTTATGCCGTCGGCGGACGTGAGGGGCTTGTTGGTGCAGACAGTGTCGACGCAAACACAAACCGCCCGTATCCGGTCCAATTCAGAAGCCGTCTCGTGACGAAGAGGGGTTAATAGTCGGCAGCCGTCAAAGGTGGTGAATAACTAGAAATTAACTATTCAGCGTGAACCTGGAATCAAATTGAATGAGGAGCAACTGCAGCACGGTGATTGATCCAATTCTCGGCTTGAAGTGAGACCCTTTATCACCGTTACATGTCCCACATGTACTTAAAGAACCCCCCAAGTAGTGTTGTGCCCACTGGTTGTGCCCCATAGTTGCACGCTTAAACTTTGGCTACTAAGTGCTAGGCTACTTGCTCAGTTTCTGGTGAGCCTCTGTGGGGGGGTGCAATTTTTTATCACTCGTTTATTAAAATTGAGCTTTTGCTGAATTTACATATACGTGAATTATAATCTTGATTTTAGCACAATAAGCCAATAGGCTACGATTTCTTTAATGTGTCGTGAAGTTTGGGTGTTTTTCCTGTTTGATGGATGTCTGCAGGACGGCCGGATCAGGGATGGGCCCTTTGGATGCAGACCACTAATTCAAGTGAGGATTTCTGGCCAGCTCGTTAGCATTAAAAGTGCCCCCCACAGTATCTTTTGAAAAGGGAGATTGTTTGGCCCCCAAAATGATGAGATTGTGTAAATCGTTGCCGGGATCAACTCCCTGGGTCCTTGAGCTTTCATATGAGAGCAGAAGGGCTAAAAATTACGATTGAAAAATGGTCCTAAGTGCCCGAGAATGTTGAGGGTTCCCACTTGAAAAATGGCTGCAATCAGNATGTTGGCGTGCATGTTACTGGGCCCTGAACAGTGCTGATTTTACACTTTTTTCAATGGGGCTTGAATTAGTGGACTGGACCCGTACCCGGACCCCTGTATGTACAGTATAAAGAGCGCCGCCAATGGAGCGTTGCAGCTTTACTCCAAGATGGCGCCGATCAGAAGATTGTCGAGAAACATGAAATCCCAAAGTTCTAAACTTACGAATAAGCCGGAGCCAAACGCAGACGAACCCTCTAAGAACGATACTCAACTTGCAGACGATTTTTCAGATGTCTCCAGCGACGACAGTCTCACCACAGACTCCGAAATGGAGGATCTTGTCCAGCGAACGGTGGCAAGCATGACGGCCAACGTCCACAGAGAAAACACGCGGACAGGGCAGCCAAAAGGATCTAAATCCGACACCATGCCTGTTGTCGGAGAGACCACTGATGGAAGTGAAGCAGACACTGCTGATCTCACGTTTGTTTTGGATGTGAACCCAAATTCCAAGAGCGATATCAGAATTGAAGTTGATCATGTTACTGAATATGCCGAAAAGCCTAGTCATGCTAGTAAATTATCAAATAGGCGGCCTAGGCCTACACCAAGTTATGCAATTGAAATCGAATCAGATGGGATCTCCTCAAAATCACAAGTCACACAACATGCCCATTCTCAAGATCAGGAAGAAGAAACATTTATATCTCTAGAGCCTGATACTTTTGTTAGTAACACACCAAAGGATCATGCAACTCATCAGAAAGGATTGTTAAATCCTAGGGGTACATATCCAGGGAAAGCCAAACCAAGGTAGGACTCAAAATCTTTTTCTTTCCAAATTTTCCTCCTCAGTGTTTACTGCTGCACTAAGTAAAGGGAAGAATTGGGAATTCCACATTGGACCATCACAGGATTTGAGTATAACAACAAATTTTTAATAGTGCACCTCTTAATTTTGTGGGGACTTTAGCAAGAAAACAAGGTTCAGTATGAATGGGGAACATGTTTTTGAGTTGGTTAAAATTGATGGTCATGTTATTTAGCGTCAACGAGCGTCAACACACACAAGTAGCGTCAACAAAGTGTCAACAACTTAAAAATACCCTCTACAGATTTAAAAATGGTTTTATTATATTTCAGAGACTCTAACACTTGCCACTTTATAAGAGAAATACCAAATTTACTTCCAGATCCTCGCAGGAAAATGATGTATGGGGGCCGCCATCTTTCATTCCTCTGCTCTTCACACGAAAACAAGATGGTGGCCGGTTGGACTGCACAAACAGACCTGACTTTGTCACTCAAATTTCAACAAGCAAATATCATTTCAGATAGATATAATACATTGAATTTGATATTTAGGATCCTAATTAACATTTTATATAAAAAATGAAAAATAACTTGTTGACACTTTGTTGACACTCATTGACGCTAGTTGATGCTAAAAAGCATGTCCCAAAATGGTTGATGTTTATGACTCCAAACCTGGTCTAACATCAATTTTTTTCTGAATATAGCTGAACATGATTTAAACAGAAACTTTTCCTGCTGCATCGTAGCTCTTTTTCATTTCTGTGTTAACTGATTTACATTGTACTAAGTCATGATGTACCATACTTTGTTTTGTGTTAAAGGTTTGAGTTGACCACAGAGCTTGACTCCGGACTTGACGTCAGTGACACATATCTCAACTTTGCAGGAGAAAAATCGACACCAAGCAAAATGTCCGCAGAGACGGTCCTTGCCAAAAGTAGCCAAGACAAGGTGAAGGTGGTCAGCATCTTGCTATTAATCCTGAAATTTGTCAAAGTTATTTCCCATCACATTTTTTTGACCAGATGAGGTTAAATAAAAAAGTTCCAATTGATGGTCACACTCAGTATCCTCAACTGTCTTAGAAGCTGAGTGCTTTGGGTTGCAAAAACAACTGAACTTGAACAACCTTTTTCTCTTGCCCTTTCATCTCACAGCTCCTGAAAAACAGCATCCTCACCCCGGACTTTGAGAAACGGCACAGTGTACCACCCTACAGAGAAGCCACACGACTGCTAAAGAGACGCAGAAAGGTTGGTTTGATGATGCAAGAATAAAGCTGTTCCAAACTAGTGCTACTTTGACCACAGCTTTTTTTGGGGGGGGGGGAGGCACAATTTTAAGTAAGATTTGAAGCTTTGCATGGTGGAAGAGACACGAGAAATGGGTTTGCGGGTACACCATGGTACCAATCTCTTTTGGGCGAGGTGTGGTTCTTAAAAGAACCGGTAAATGTCTTTTAAGAACCACACCTCGACCAAAAGAGATTTATTCCATGGTGTACCCGCAAACCCATTTCTCAGGCACAATTTTCTTTCCTGGAAAAAAACAACTCAACAATAGGTAGTAGGTTATTCATTGAGTAATTTGAAGTTATTTCTTTTCGCTATTACATGTACTAAATTCCAGAGCATCACACCAGGACTGAACAGGGCCCGTTAACTATAAAAACAAAAACCCTTGAGTAGAAAAGGCTAACATGGTAAGAAACTGCAGTCTGTGAATTAATGCAAGTGTTGAAAAGGGGTTACAGATTTATGATTCACACAAGCCTCGTTTTCATAGCCTTTGTGTGGAGCCATTCATGCATTCAATGTACATGTACATTGTTGGATTGTAAGCCAGTGCACACAAAAATCCCCTCAAATCTGTTTCCAGATTTGCATAACTTTTGGAGGGTGCAGTGGTGCTGGGCAGGCACCATTAATTTACATTAGGACTGATTTCCTGGAAGTTTGTCAAAGTACAATAGTGTGCCATATCTGCAATAAAGATAACAAGGGATTGGGATTTAATCAGCACTTTTCCCTTAACAGAAAGAGAGGGAGTCCAGCACTGGACAGGAGTGGTACAACATGGCCGCTGTCGAGATGACTGACCAGCTGCGCAATGACATCAAGGCTGTGCGGATGCGCTCTGCACTGGACCCAAAACGATTCTACAAGCACAACGACATGACAGCGATGCCGAAATTTGTTCAGGTATATTAGAAGAAAATAAAATCGGGTAATTTGGGGGGGGGGGGCAGGAGTGCTAAGTGAAGCACAACATTCTGCTTGTGGAACGTCTCTGTGGTGCTATTGCCTAGTTCTGATGATTCAATTTGGAACAAGCAGCTTTCCTAACATGGTCCTGGCTGTATCAGGTCACTTGTGAATTCACTTGTACATGGCTGAAGGTTAAATTGGCGCTCACATGTGTCCTCACTTTGGACACCAGCATTTTTTTCTGATCAGAACGGTTGGAATTTTCTTATAGGTAGGGACGATAGTGGAGAGCCCTGCTGATTTCTACCACTCTCGGGTTCCCAAGAAGCAACGCAAGCAGACCATTGTGGAAGAGCTGTTGGCTGACGCGGAGACAAGGAGGTGAGATCCATCATCCCTGAAACACCAATTCTCCCTTAACCCTAACCCCTAGGGACCACTGAAATCTTGCATAACCTTGTTGGGTTCAGCATCGTTAGGGTTAAGTTCAGTTACGTCAAATTGAATTCGCCTTGCAATTTGTTAAGCTCATCCCCCAGGCTCACCAAAATGTCATCTTTCCTGTCACAGGTACAACAAACGGAAGTACTTGGAGCTACAGGAGAAGACAAAGCGCTGGGGTCAGAGGTCAAACAGGCAGAGGCGAGGGAAAAAGAAGACTGGAAAGTGACCTGACGATATGTTTCATTTTCGGAGGAACAAGCTTGAATTCATGTTTTATGTCACTTTCCCATGCTTTGTTTAGCCAATATCCGTATGTGCCACTGGTTTACTATTTCCATTAGTGTTCCTAAAACCACTTTCTCACAAGATCATAGAGAGAATAACAAAACAACTTGTAAAACTACGATGTCAAATTCATTTGCCCTGATTTGGTTTGGTGGATATTGTGAAATCGCAATAAAATATGAGCATCACTTCTGAAACTAAAAGAACCCTAACCATTCCTTCTTGTGCTTTTCAAATAAAAAAACCCAATCTGTTATGCCTCTTTCAGCCCATCCTCCAACTTGCTCTACCTATTTTTCCTCCATCCATTCAAAGACTCCCTCTCAACCTGCGCTCCTTGTTCAAGAGAAAAACCCTGCTGTGGTTATTCAATCCTACCAAGAAAACAAAGGAAAGGGACTGACAATAAGGCGGCTTCCCACACCGCCCCCAGCTCAAGTAGGCCTGGTTCGCAATGTGATTGTCCCAGCTTCAGTGTTTGGAAACAGTGTAAAACCACGGAGGAAAAAGAGAGAGAGAAAAAAAGCTTTTGACTTGTCTTGAACTGGGTAGGCATGTCAAGGCTGACAGAAAAACTTCCCTCGCGGGCTCTGAGAGTGTGATACATATGTATCATTAAAATAAAATCACAGAAGTTGTTGGCTCCACAAAACTTTCCGTGACATTTCTCAGTTTTTGGATGATTTGAACAGCAACAATGCTCAGAACTAGGGAGTTCTGAAATTTGTGCTTGTTTGAAAGTGCTCGAGAAGTCTGGTTTTTTAAGGATTAGAAACAACTCAATAATTCTGTCCGACGATTCTGCATTACCGAGTGTGGGCTTTGTGTGAATTAAAAAATGCTTCTCCAATGGAAAGAACCCCAAATCGTTAATCATCTAAGTTACCAATTCACAGGTGAATCTGCGTCGAAGAAATTAGTTACCATCTTTGGATTGGATGTTTTCCTGGACCGAGAAGCGACAAACCCATCATTCCTGAAATGCTTTCCCTTTGATATTTGGAGGGGATTGGGTTTTTTAGAGTTAAATTCAATGATGGTTCAGAAAGGGGGGGTCACTAATGACCTGTTGATCAAGCAATGGGGACTGCTCTGTATTGACGGAGCACACGAGAAGCCATCCGTCGGTATTCCTGCTCAGACTTGCTGCACAATTATAAGAAGTGCTCCTGAGGGACTCGGGGTGGGCGGTGGACCCTATTTTCTCGGCCTCTGCAGAGGGTATATCTCCGTAAACAGCAAGAGTGCTTCTTTTTTACAGGCTTTTTTGTGCTCGTCCAAATGAGGAATCAGCAGTACAAAACACGGGTTTCATTTGAGAGTCTGCCCAGAGAATGCGAGCCTCAGTTTTCTGAATGTTTTATTAGCGCGGAATGAAAGGTTTGGCCTGCGGGTTCCAGCACGCGGTCGGCCCCGTAATTTCCACCTCGCCGGCGCGGTGAATGGGACCAATGGAGCAGGGCAGGGTTGTTTGGAGGAATTAAGGGATAAACGCCATTGTTGGGGATCACCGTTTCATTGTCCGGTGTCCGACAACAGATCGATTCTCGACAGACGAATGTGCTTGGGAGATAGGGGTTTGCTTGGGTTGGATGCCGACCATTCTGTTTGTCTCCCATCCAGTCAAGCTAAAGCTCATTGAGTGGGGATTTTTTTTAATAGTGTTTTCTGGAATGAAAGCATCAGTTTTATGCATCGGTCGAATGGTTCTGACGGGGAAGAATTCCGCTCTATTTACGCAAACACAAATAGGCTTTCAGAACACGTGCACCGGAGAGACGGAAAGAAAAGTTACAGCGTGGCAGACAGTCCATTCCCCTGGCACCGGGCACGCCCCGGTAAGAATACCGGGGCTGTGTCTCCCACCTCTCGGCTGGCACCAGGGGTGCGACGATCGACACCAGGGATCGGCGCAGGGGCTCCTGAGATGTAAGCGCTAAATGACCAAAGTTGGTGATTGTTTCTCTTGTAACCAACTCCTCGTCTCAGTTAGGCCCACACATCACTTGTGGTCACTCAGTTGGTGTCGTGTGTGGGCGAACCGATCCGACCACTCGCCCAGAAGCATTCGAGTTTCAAACCAAAGAACCTGTTAGAGACTACTTGTGAGTGCGATTCAGCTTGCGAGCGAGGATGGCGACTTAAAAATGGCCTTCAGCTTAAGCTGGTAAGATACTACATCCATCTAGGTTTATAATTTTGTAGGTTCATATTTTGAAATGGACGGGCCCATTATTAGAGTCCTAATTAATGCCTACATTAGATTCCATTGGAAGCATTCCGTGTGTCTACCTCCATGGTCCATCACACGTTTTTGAGTGTCACAATACAATTTTCAAAAGGTATGCCTGTTAATATGTTGTTTATTTAAATATTTTTTTGAATGGGAGTTCAGCAAAAAATGGGGATTCAGTTTTATGAAAATCGAAAATTGTGATGGTCTGATTTCTAATTTTCTTCGAAGATACTACAAAGCAGTGGTCTATTAAATTTTAAGGACGTGTTTAGTGTGTTTTTGCTAATAGGCGTGGCCTTCTCCATGATGGTGCTTCGTGGGATGATTATCCAGGGAACAGTGAACTCAACGGGCGTTAATTTTAAGCTCGGAAGAAAGTTTTCAGCGGAGAATTTGCGCGCAGCTTGATCATTCGTTTACCATTCTTGTCTGCTCAATGGTTTCCAGCAGGCTTATCCCCTGATTAGCACCTCCAATTGGTTACAACCTAAAGAAATAGAAACAAGATCGAGTTGTGGCTTAAAACTGTCGCTTGTTTTTATGTGCTTCACTGACGAAAGTCTATTTTCATTTCAGTCGAAATCGGGCCATCTGCGGTATCTGTTTTGCAGTGGCGTAGCCACGGGGGCGGGGTCTGGCCGGCACGTGCCCCGCCCCCCAATTCCCGGTGCCCCTCACTGAAAAGGATGAATGGATATTTAAAAGGCTAACAAAAACTTTCCCCAAAAAAACCACACCACTGAAAGCTGGTGGCCCCCATAAGATGCTGGTGCCCACTTTGTGCCCCCCCCTCGTAAAATCCTAGCTATGCCACTGCTGTTATGTATTTTTGAGGATTTTCATTGCTTTTATCAGTGATACTGCTTCGAGTCTCAAAAAGTGGCGTAACGGGGGAGTAGAGTCAGGGCACGCCCCCGTCCTCTTCAAGGACATCGTACCATTGTTTCAAAAGATGTGAAACATCAAGCATCAACACTTCAGAACGGTACTTGTACCTTCCGGCCATTTGGAGGGCGAGTTTTTTTAGGGCTGAAAAACTTGAAGGGACAATATATTATCATTTCAGAAAAGAAATCCCGTTTCCACGCTACTGATCTAAAAGAGTCGAACATTCCATCGCTCTTTCCGACCACCCCTGCTAAAGACAGTCTGTTAAAACCTTTTCCATTGAAACAGAATCTTACAGGATCATAGCGTCACATCTTCCAGCGTTTAAGCTGCTTAATCTCAGCAAAGAAAACGCAAAGCACTGTGGGTAGTAACCGAGCCGTTTTTCAATACATGTACTCGACTTGGACTCCATCAGGCTTCAACAGTTTTTTTTACTTCTCGACTTTGAGGTTAAAAGCGCAACAGTAAGTCTAATAGTGCAACAAAACATCGAATAAGATGTAAAAAGAGCCAAAAATTACAGTATTTCAGTTAAAGTTAAACACTTAAGGTCCACAATTGAGGATTGGTTTCCTACACGATGCCTGAAGTGGAGCCGAATTGAGTATTGGAAAACGGCCCACGTGTACATGTATTTTCTTGCGCGCATGCGAGTGTCAACCGTAGGAGGCCAACAAGAGACACATGTTCCCAGTGCACCATCCTAGCGATCACAGTCAAATTACGAAGCGTTATAGGCCGGAATGAGCAATACCGGTAGCGGGGGGGGGGACATCTCCCTTCCACAGGCCTACACTTTTTGCGAGACCTACAATGGGGTGATGCTTAAAGGGTACAGTCCACTATCCAAGCCCCGTTGAAAACAGTGTAAAATCAGCACTGTTCAGGGCCCAGTAACATGCACGCCAACATCCCTGAGATTTCTGAAACACAAATGAAATTCTTGACTGGTCACTAATCTTTCAATTTCTTTTCAATTTTTTTGTGGGTTAACCAATTACAT